CAGAAGGCCTGGGGGCCGGATGGGGGCTCACATCTGTGGAGATGGCTGGTGGGGTGATGGGTTCTGGCTCTCCCCCCCCCAACATCTTGAAGGGTCAGTGCTAAAATATACAGGGGGGTTTTAGGCCATTTTTAATGTATGTTTGTATTTTAATTATTTATGGATTTTAGCCACTGTTGGAGGGATTAGGGTGTATTTTTCTTTTTTGTTATTGTGAGCCGCCCAGAGTCACCCGTTGGGGGAGATGGGCAGCATACAAATTTAATAATAAATAAAATAAATAAATAAATTCCTCTTCTTTCTAAGGTGTGTGGGCAAAATGATATACCTTCTCTATAGGAGCCCTCATGTTGTGGATATCTCCCACCCCTCAAAGTACATGCCATCTCCACCTTTCTCTAATTCCTCAAACAAGTTAAATATTTTATATCACTGTGCTTTCAGTGTCAACTGGCTGGTTGTGAACATCTATTTGGGAGGTTATCTTAGTTTGCTTTTTGTGATGCTTTTTGATACTAAATTTGACCTAGTTGTTCATTATTATGTTTTTATTTTTATTTTTATTTGATGTTTTATGCTGCCCAGAGTCCTTCAGGTTTGAGGCAATTAGAAGTGCTATAAAATGAAGAGAGGGAGAAAAAGAGAAGGCATTCTGTTATTGTATTTCCTGTTGAAAGTGACTTTTCATTTAAAAAAGTGCTTATCCAATTAGTGTTTTTTCTATTGCATTTTAAACTCCCTGATTTTTAAAAATTTTGTTTAATTTGCAGTTCAGTGCTCTCCAGGCCATTATTACAACACCAGTGTCCATCGCTGCATTCGTTGTGTTATAGGCACCTATCAGCCAGACTTCCGTCAGAACTATTGTATTGCGTGCCCTGGGAATACCACGACAGACTTTGATGGCTCGACTTCCGTAACACAGTGCAAAAGTATGCTTTGTCTAGCAAGAGTTATGTGGATTTTGGAAGGAGAACAGAATAGAAAGTTAATTTGTATAGATGTAACTACCTGAAATTATCTCAGTTTTCTTGACTTCCTACTATTTTTGTCCATGTTACACACAACACACATACACACACACAATTTACATTGTATCACACTGACAAAGCAGTGCTCCAATCTCCTTTGACCACCAGTTTCTCAGCTGATATCCCAGTATTCTTTATGTGTTTTCTTGCAGACCGTCAGTGTGGGGGGGAACTGGGGGAGTACACTGGCTATATTGAGTCTCCCAATTACCCTGGAAACTACCCTGCAAATGTGGAATGCACCTGGAACATCAACCCACCTCCAAAGCGCAAGATTTTGATTGTGGTGCCTGAAATCTTCCTGCCATCTGAGGACGAATGTGGAGATGTCCTGGTCATGCGGAAAAACTGTAGGTAACCAAATGCTTCATTGGGACCATACAGAAGATAGCTTTATAGGATCAGCTTTCAGCAGATCTGTGCTGAATTGGTAGATGTAGTATCATCCTCCTTCATCTTCACTGGAGAGGAAATAGTGAGCAAACCAATAGCTCATTTTTCTAGCAAGTCTTAATGGTCTGTAAAGAATTTAGTGTTGGGGCCTTCAGTCTCTACATTGAAACTGATGCCTTACAGTGCTGACAATCTACAAGATACTGACACTCAGGATCTGAGTTTTCCTGGATTGGAATATGCTTATAAATTTAAAACTGGGAATGTAATGACATTTAAAAAACAGGTATCTTTGAGTAATCTCTGAGTATAAGAAGATTTACTAATTGTCATTGTTAGTCAGAAAGCCTGCATCCTTCAAGAGGACCCTTGTGGAATTCTCTAACTGCACCAAGTTCAGAAGCCCTCAGACAAGATCTTTATTGTACAGTTTCCATCCCCCAGCTACAAAATTCTATAGGAAATTGACACATGAACTTTGATTTGTAATCTTCTTGTCCCACTGCTTCCATCATTTTTTTCCTCCGGAAAATCTGTCAAAATGGGAAGGATAAAGCAGCTAAAATATACTATGTTTTCATGAAGAGCAATTTTGCTATTCTACTAAATATACACACACCCAAATTTAAAATTTTGAATTATTTAGACCCAATCCTCAAAAGTGTCCTCATGTGAATGGGTCTGCTCTTCTGCACTTCAGACCTAAATGTCCTTTTAGAGATTTCAACCAAAGATGATAAAACTTGGTTAAGATATGCTTCCTTAAAAAAAAAAAAAAAAAAGACTGGAATTCAAAACATATACTCCCTTTCACCTCTCAAGTGTAAGGATCTTTAGCAAAAGGAAGGCAGAAAGAAGAGTCTTTGATTATTGACATATCTTCCTTCACCTCTGAAGATGTTTTAATGCATTCTGTTTGATGGTGTAGGAGCTGTGTGATTCCACATAATACATGTACATGATCTGTTTTCCCCTACAGCGTCTCCCTCCTCCATCACAACCTATGAGACATGCCAGACTTATGAGAGGCCTATAGCTTTCACTGCAAGATCCCGAAAATTATGGATCAACTTTAAAACTAGTGAAGCTAACAGTGCCAGAGGCTTCCAAATCCCTTATGTCACATATGATGGTAAGTATGAGGAAGTTACAGAGCTATGTATACAGTCTGATCATACAGAGGTTTTCAGCATGCAGGTTCCTTTTGGAAGTGGACCTATACTTCCTAGATCTTTTTCTGATGCCATTTGGTTCCAGAACCTGATGTTAAGCATGGACATCTGCAAAACATTCCCACACATACATATATATAATTCTATTAAAATTAATCATATATTTAAATATATAGCCTTTGCAGGTACTCTTGCAACATATTTTACATGGATGCTGGAAAGCATGGCTGGCATAATACAATTCTCCAAATGAGATTTTGGGCAGTAAAACGTTAGTTCAAATACTTTAGACCAATGTATAATTAATGGAGAATGGGTGTCTTTCCAGCCTTTTAATATCTGGGAGTGGGGGTGTTAATCATAAAAGTACACAAGGTCCAGTTCTGTTGTCTTCCTATTAGTTTTCAAAATGTTGGTATATATTTCAAAAAGGCATAAATGTTCAATAGCTATGACATAATTTTCTTGAATTAATTATTTTAAATCTATAGAAACATGACAAAAGATATGACAAAAGAATCTTCAACTGAAGCTTATGTACCAAACAATGCAAGTTCTTATTTCAAGTCTCTCTGTAATTCTAAATATCTAATTAAACATGCATTTGTAAATAGCTATTACAAGCCTATTATTTTGCAAAATTCTTTAATGCCAGAATTGGGTTCTGAAGCACTTAGGGTTGCTGACCCATATGTAGATATCAAAAATGTTAAACTGATAAAATTCTTATTATCTCTTCTTATAGTCTCAGTAACTCTAGAACTATGATTAAAGAAGTTTTGCACAACAAAACCCTTGTCTGTTTCTGCACCATTTTCCTTCATCCATCTTTCTGTCCGGAATGCTTGCCTCTGAATCTTATAGATGAGTTTGTTAATATCACTTTCTCTTTCTGATGATAATGATGTGCCATGTAATGATATGCCATGAAATGCACTAGACAGAGCATATGGTACATTTTGTCCAGAATTATCTGCTTCCAACCTGGTCCTTCAGGTCTTCCAATAGTGCACCTATTTCTGCTCTAATTTATCCCATCCTCCTAGCTGCTGCTGGTTGTCCTTTTTTATTCCTTCCTTTCACCTTTCCCAGCATTATAGACTTCTCAAGAGAATTAAGTCTTCCCATAATGTGTCCAAAATAAGATAATCTGTCCACAAGTGAAAACTCCGGACTGATTTGTGCTATGATCCATTTGTTTGCTTGGCAGTCCATGGTCTCAGGGCTTTTCTCTATCACCAAAGTTCAGAAGGTCAATACTCTTTCTATCCTTCACAGTCCAACTCTCATTTCCATAGACTGTCACAGGGAAAACCATTGCTTGCACAATTCTGATCTCTATAGGTATAAATACATCATGGGAACTGAGTATCTTTTCTAAGGCCCTCACTGCTACTCTGCCAAGTGCTAGTCAGCAGTGTATTTCTTGATTTCCCTTCCATAAGTTCCTTGAAGCAACTCTGGAGATTATCAAAATCTTTTTACTATGCATGCATGTATGTATTGTGCTTGAAATAAATTTAGTGGCTGCTTTTCTTTTCTCATATCTCCTTGACCATTTCGCCCAATAATGCAGAGGATTATGAACAGCTGGTAGAGGACATTGTCCGAGATGGCAGACTCTATGCCTCTGAAAATCATCAGGAAATACTGAAGGTAAGGCTATTTTTTTGTATTACTGGACATGGATTTGACTCATTGGTATCCTTTAGCATACATATGCTTATGTGCATTTTTTTCTACATATCTCCCATTTAAAAAGATATTTGATAGCAGGACTAATGATGACTTTTCTATTGGAAAACTTGGAGAGCTCCTTGTAATGTGAGGAGAAATACTAAAGCACACGTTTTAGAAAATGGTCTTCAGTTAGTCTCTCCACCCCACCCTTTTTTTTTTCACAGACACAGCTGTAGACATTTTGATTTCAGATCCACAGCAAGTTGTGTGAGGAGGGACTTTAATGATTTCCTTCCTGCTCCAGCTTTTTGCCAAAAATTGTTTCTTTCCTTTTATAGCTGCTCCCTGTCCCTTTGGGGCAAATAGTAGCTCGAGGAATTGGAGAAGCTGTAGAAATAGTTCTGTTTTTACTTAATTTAAAATATAACAGAAGATATATTTGTAATAATGTTACTGAGTTCATGCTTAACATATGTAGTTGACTCACAAGTCTCACTTTTTTTTCTGATGGTATACTACTGGAAAAACATAAGATTGGGGGATGTGACAATTTGTCTCCTAACACAGAGTTTGATATTCAGCCATATTTTTCAAACAGAATGAAAATATTCAGAATGAAAATACTTTTCATTCAGAATGAAATACTTTTCAAACTTATCACCAGAGTTCAGGGATAGGGAGAGGATATTTCCACATTTGGAATGATCATGTAAAGCTTTTGTGGAGAGCAGTAAAATTAACTAGTTAAAATATAATCCAAATAATTGTTCATTTTGTAGGATTTTCCCCACACTCATGGGTGTGGACAAAAAAATGGAGAAAAAATAGATTGACATAAAATACATTTAGAAAAACTGAGGTGGGGGGGAATTAATTTTCTGTTCCTGGGCCTAACAGAGTCTGAAAATATCTTAGCACAAAACCAACACAATAGGTCATCCACCAAGCTGGCTATAACTTATAAAATATGCAAGGCAGCACAGCAGGGCACAAAACATGCCTAGAAAAATGTGGCCAAGAAACATGGATCATGCACAGCTATGAAATACTAGTAGATGCAGGAACAGAAGACTTGAACTTCAGGACTCTGTGTATAGTTCTCTGACATTTGGCTTTTTTGCTGGATCTTCTGGTGTGTTTCTATTTAGGACTGTGTTATATCCTGTCCACCATCCTGACATCCTAAACAAATCACAGATCAGTCTGAAAATCCAGTTTTAGCATATATTGTACCACCAAAGCCTGCTGTTCAAAGTCATATCCATTAAAATATTTTGACAACATTTTAAGTCCAACACCAGATGATAAACATTGTCATCAGTAATTGCAGATATTCTCTCACATTTCCAAAACATGAGATAAAGCTCTGGCTCTTAGAACTGTCTTTAAACAAGGAAACAGACCTAGTTTTTTCTTATTATATGCAACTTAATATTCAAAATAGTAGCCATGTCAAAAGTCCATCACTGCCACATCAAAATAATCATAAGAATGACCCCTGAATTAATGTATTAATACCAGCAGACACAGGGACAACCTATGCGTTAGACAGGAAGAAATGGATCATATTGCTTTCCATATTTCTCCCCAATAATGTGTTATTAAAGAAATATGTGCCATAGTATTATCATATTATGATTTTGTATTTTTTCTAGCTACACATAGCTGGGGAAACATGGATTAATACTGTTGTATCTCACTATAACATACACTGTGGGTTCTGGATGGATTTCATGGATTTTCCTGGTGCTTGGTTCAGAATGGCTTGGTGTATATAAAATCATCAGATTAATGTAACACTTGATTCCATTCTCAGCCTTGCTACAGGTACTTGCTTAACAACCACAATAGGGACCAGAAAATGTGTCATTAAGCGGGGCAGTTGTTAAGTGAGGCATCACGTGACCACACCCAATTTTATGACTTTTTTGCAGCAGTCATTAAGTGAATCACTGCAGTCATTAAGTGAATCACACAGTTCCCCACTGATTTTGCTTGCCAGAAGCCGGCTGGGAAGGTTGCAAATGGCGATCACGTGACTTCGGGAAGCTGCAATCATTGTAAGTGCAAGCTGGTTGCCAAGCGCCCAGATCGTGATCACATGATCGCAGGGATGCTGCAACAGTTGTAAGTACAAGGACCATAAGTAGCTTTAGTGCCTTCGTAATTTCGAACAGTCGCTAAATGAATGGTTGTTAAGCAAGGACTACCAGTACTTATAGAGCAAAGGTGGTACCAGTTTCTAGACATCCGTTTGTCAAAGAAGACCCTATTGTCTTCAACCATATATATTATGATTCCTGTGGTTACATCTAAAGTTGTTATTCTGTTTTCCTTGCAGGACAAGAAGTTAATCAAGGCGTTCTTTGATGTGTTAGCTCATCCACAGAACTACTTTAAATACACAGAGAAACATAAGGAAATGCTGCCCCGCTCTTTCATCAAACTCCTCCGCTCCAAAGTTTCAAGTTTTCTTAGACCTTACAAATAGCCTCATATTTTCACAAACCTTCCAAGTTTCTCGACTGCCAAGAAAACTTTTTTTCTTATGCTTATTGTTATTTTTCAGTGAATTTTTTCTACAAATAGAAATCCGCCATCCTTCACTATGCAGATGCATCTAACCATCGGTCATTCCTTGGCTTTTTTTCAAATCAAATTTACTGATGATTTGACCATGGAAGGAACAGCTGGCCACAAGGAACTAAATCCCATCCCTTGTGTTTCCATACTGAAGTCTCAGCCTGTTGAGATCACACATCCCAGTAAGTGACACAGTCTTCACAAGAGGCCTCTACTGGGACTGTATCTCCCAGTCATTTCAGCTTTCTCACATATATGCAAATTATGTGCAGCCCCTTGTGCTGCCAGGCAGCTGCCAAAGAGGCTGTTTGGGTACATTTCTCTGCATGACTGTTTGCTTCTAAAAAGAAGTACTTCTGCTATCATATCATGCCTCTGCTTCTGGCACACCAGTGAAATGGGGAGACTCTGAGCAACTGCCAAGCAATGGAATTAGTCCAGCTGAACACTTTTGTAAAGAACTGAGAGCAGTGACACCTGGAATGCGGAAGGTTCTGCCTTATTTATCAGACTGTTGTGTTTTTAACTGAAAAATAAATCAAGCAGTCTTGCAGAGAGGATCAAACAAGATACATTGGGGGGAATACAGTGGATGTAGATCATACAAAATGAAAGGGTATATCACAGAAATGTGAAAGGAAATTGCCCTTGTTGGGAATGGCAAGTGTGGTGACTAGAACAGCATCATTTCATGATGGAGTTTGATGTTGAAGAAAGCCTAGCCTAGCCACCTTCTCATACAGAATAATGTCTGGAAAAGGAGAGGGGGAGCAGAAGTTGGTGAAAAGTGAGATTTTCTGATATGATTTCTCTCTACAGACTCTTGTGCTGAGAGATCAGACTTCTAAGCTCTGCCAAAGAGTAACTCAGTGATAAGAACACAAGCGGTGTGAAGGGCAGGAGTAAGTGAATGTTTGTGCACTAGGATGCTCTCCTTTCTACCTTTTTCATATTATTAAGTGCAATCATTTTGAGTTGTCTTTATATTATTTAGAGGGTTTTTTTCTACTAGAAACTACAATATTTATACCTGCCTAAGAAAAGAGAATGCGCGTGTGCATATGTAAGAAACAGAAAAGAATCCAAACATGGAATTGGGAGAATGATGACTAAATGTGACTACATTTTCAGCTCTTGGAATTTTATTTTCCTCACTACAGTAAACTCCAGTGTAACTCCTGAAGATAGAGTTCCTTGTGTAAGTGAAGTAACACAATACATGAACTGAGCATTTCCAGATGACGTGGAAATTATGCTTTGGCAACAAGCAGCTCCTAAAAATCAGTTCAATTAAAATGTTATCAAAGGCATCTTTAAAGAACATATCAAGAATCATATACTGGAATCTGTCCCCATGTTAAAACTCTCTTCGCACATTCAACATACTGCTTAATCTCACTCTTTCTGACCATTTAGCTTTGTACAGGTAGAGGAATTTTGGTATGTTTGGTTCTAAGATCTGTTATACAGAGATGGCTAGGTTCTCTTTCTGATGCTCCAATAAGCTGCAGGTTCTGCAATAAGGGTCTAGGGTGTTTTGGGAAGTCATACCTTTTAACTCAAGGATGTTTTTCCCCTCCTAATTCCAAAAAATATAGCTGTGGATTCCCAGTGAGGAAGGAAGTGTTTTTTGCACCTACTCAGAAGTACTCGTGTTTTCTCATGCTACAAAGCTGAGCCCTGCATTGAATTTAGGTTTTAGGGTAGCTCTGTTTGATATGAAATCATGACCAGTGTTTCTTCTTTGTCTGTTTAAAATTATATAAACTGTTTGCCAAGCACTGATTTATATTCAAGTGCAAATGCTAATGTTGAAATGCAGTCTTAAGTCATGGTCTAAATTAGCAATCAGAATTATCAAAAGTATCATGCAATTATAATCAGTTCATCTTCATATGCAATACTGTCAATTTTCACCAGTATTGTGTGCTGTGGGTTTGCTACTTCTCACTTTTAACTTGATCCAGAATCAAGAAATAGTTCTACCAAATTCACAGTATTGCAGCCATGAAACAGAATTGGTTTTGATGTAAACAGCTGTAGTATTTCAGTAAGTGAGTTTCCATTACTGTAGGTGCTAATTGGATATATTTTCTTGAACTTATAAGTATTTGTTTATTCGGTGGAAGAGGACAGAGGCAGACATTCAAGTCAGTTATTTACTTTAGAGGAAGATAATAGAGGCAGAACCAGAAATGGGGGGCAGCTTTGAAAAGAAAAATATATGTTGAATTTTGCTTTGGACTCTACCTGGTTTCAATTAGTGAGATCCATTTTGCCTGTATCAATATGTAAAAAGTTAAAGATTTGAAAAGCTGAAAAGTCCATCTCAAATAGGAAATATAACCATTTTTAAATAACAAAGCTAAGTTATTTAGTTGTTGTGCCATATGTCATCATCCAGTATCCCTTGAAAAATAATGAATGAGGAAAAAGGTGTAGTCCATAAAGTTATTTGCACTTGATGAAAGAAACTGTATCTGATTTGTAAAAATAAAATTTTGCATTTCATATTGCCCATTTAAATTATTAAATGGAATTTCTTGGTGTTGCATTGATCTTTCAGATTGCTTTCCATTGCTTGTAAAATGGCTAATGCATATTTATTGCTGCTTGGAGTTCTGTTTCTCTCTCCCCTTTTGTTCTTTTTCTCTTTGGAAGTCAGCTGATTTTTTACCCTAGACAGTTTGTAGGCATCAACAATTTTGAGATGCATTTGTACTATGAAATGCATAATATTGCCTGTTACACATTTCTGCTAAAGAAAAAATAAAACCCATAACTCCTCCAATACAAAAGTAATTAAAATTGTATAAAAGTAATGCAAATGGAAAACAGGCCAATAGTATGAATGAAAATAATTATTTGCCTTTTTCTGTATCAGGGATGGGGATCATTTTTAGATGTTACTGAGCTGCAACTCCCAACATTATTCACTGTTTATGAAGGCTGGAAGTGCTGTGAATCACAGTTGTTCAGCAATGTTTTCCAGAAAGAGAGACTTGATGTATTTTCAGGTCTCACCTTCCCCATCAGTAGTAGCCCACAGGGACTTTACAAAACCATCCGAAGGGGCAGGTCCATCCTGGCAGAAGAGCTGTTGGCATGCACAGTATATTCAGCTGATACAAAGGGACTCTTGGAGAGGTGGTGCTTGAGCCTTCAAGAGAATGTGATACTTTAAGCACCAGGTTCAGAGAGAGATTTAGTCTAGCAACCCTCTTGTTTTGCATAGCTCTGGCAATCTTTCTGTATGCAAAGGTGAATGCACTTGTTAAGACATATTTGTGATGGTCAGAGTATCTGGAGTATCAATAAAGATAGGCACAGCTTGTCAAAACTAGTATCACGTTGGGAAAAGAAAGAAGATGCACTCCTTTTCTACTGATCCTTTTCTATAAGCCATGCTGGGTAAGACCAAGAGCCTATTTCCTCCACCATCCTCTTTTTCACAGTGCTCAAATAGAAAGTTTTAGGAAGCTAACAAGCAGGATTGAAAGGCAATAGCATTCTTTGTTTCCCAGCAACTGTAATTCAGAAGCATGTTATTTCTAGAGATAGATATAACCATCATGATTAGGGACTATTTGATAATACTTTTCCTCCATTAATCTTGTCCACGCACTTGCCAAAGTAACATTAGTTTGGCCCTCCATTCAAATTCTATATCCAGTCCTTACTGTATCCAGTAGAATAGATGGAGAGAAATTTTGGATCCTTTGCCAATTTAAAATCTTTGCTATCAAAAATAATTATTTTAATTTTTTCATTCAGGAAAAATGTGTGTTACCTGTTGCTACAGTACAGAGGTAAAGTCTTTTTAAAAACTGAAGGATCAGTTACTTGCAAAATCTTTCTGGCTAAATAAATGCTTGGGGACTTTATTACTAGCATACTACTATTCTTACCCTTTAGTCAAAAGTGTACCAGTTTGCTGTTCTGGCATACCACAATTGCAAATAAAATGTGCAGAATATCAGAATCATGGGGCAAAAGGACAGCAGAACCTGCTCTTGCTTACTAAGAAATAAAGGCTATTGTGTAAAATGGATTTTCTGTCTGATTTCTGAAATCTTGCCTTTGGATATGGTTTGGAAGAGGGAAATTTCCTCCCACCTTGCTATTTTTCAGATATCTCTGGTTACTTAGGGTGCTTCTAATGTGGACAGCTTCTAATCAAAGATGGCATGAATATTTCACATTTGCTCTTTCTGGTGGGAGGGTTGTTAGGGCTACAGATTTTGGTTGCAAAAATCTGGATGAACACTAAATAGAATAAATACAGAAGAATAAACTCTGCTGCCCCCTTGTGTTTGCCTAGAGTTTTGCTGCCAAGTTCTAATTGACACCCAGTTGTAGTAAGAAAATGTCAGAAGCAGTGGGAAAATACAAGGGGTTTAATAACCAGACAATCTCTTACAAAGTTTTGTGTTAAGCCAGATCAAACGGATGAGAAAAGTTATATGGAACCAGACTAAATAGCTTTGATGTCACCACCTCCACTAAACACACAATTTTAAAATCATAAAAATTCCAGTTAATTTGAAACACTAACATTAATAAAAATAATTAGCACAGCAGGATACAAATTGCAGCTTATTTCTATGGGAGAACAGAACTTTATGGGGAGCTGCCTGTATAATAGGTGGTACATCTTTAGCTCCTTTCTCCAAATGCTCAAATCTCCTTCACAACCTCCATTCTTCCTCTTCTAGAATCAAGCTTTTAAAAAGCTTTCCACTGATATTAACGTTTATAAAGGACAGAATTCCAATAGGCCTCAGCAGATGGCAGCAACTGGCTAATGTTGGAACCTGAGCAATACTGGAACCCGTCTAACACTTGAATGGGGGAACCATCAACGAAGTTCAGAGCTGTAGGTGAGACTAGAATTCCAAAAGCATCCCAGAAAATGGCTCTGAAAAATCACTTCGTATGTTGCTAAGGAAACTGCACAGACCACGTGGTCCATGTCAGTAAGTCAGCAGGAGTTAGACCCGAGTCAGAGGCTTATCTTTTTTATTATTTTTAACATGGGCAAGTAATACTTCAAGGGGGAACACAGTCCCTGGGAAGGAGAAAGTACCTTTTAACACCCAAAAGCTTCTTTAGAAGAAAAAAAAAGGGGGGGGAGGGGCTGGTAAAAAAGAAAAACGTCTCTTGCCCTGAACGGAAACTTTTAAAACTCAACACGAGGGTGGAATAGCGAGAAGCCAATTAACAAATAAGCAGACAGAACTTTTAATTGCAAAGGAAAAAAGGCAATTAACAAATAAGCAGTTAGAACTTCTAACTGCAAAGGAAACAAGCTGAACCGGATCTTCCGCGTCTAGTGGTTGAGCTGCTGCATTGCTTCCCACCTGAGAATATTGTAGTTTCCATATTCGAGTCCCATACAGGAATTAAACCAATGAGGGCGGATTATCCGTTCTTACTCCAACACCCAGCAAAAAAAATCCCACCAGCAAGCAAACGATTAGAAAGTGTAATACAAATCTCTGCCTTCTGTGTTTAAAGTGATTAAAGGAAAGACGCCCATGAAAACCCTCATGCGGTCTACGAATTCTAGCGATAGGATCCGGATGTGGGAATCCAGCAGCGGGAGCCACACTTGGTCTGACTTCGATTTGGGTGGAAAGCAGGCTGCAGTTCCGTCGAAAACCGAAGGTGTAAGTGAAAGGGCAGACGCTTCGTCGTAGTTTCTGCGCATGTCTGGAAATGCGGCGCATGCCAAGAACCGTGGGCTCTGCTTTCCTTTTCCGGGAACTTTCTGGGGCCCCGGAACCTGGATGGAAAGCGGTGAACAGTCGAAGAAGCCGTGTTAAGAAGGTGTCATACAGGCTGCAGGGCTGTGAGCTGTAGTGAGGCCCGGTGCATGGCGGTCAGGCGGCGGACTCGGCCCTCCACAGGTCGGTGCCGACAGGGAGGCGGGGATGAGGGAAGATGCACAGCCCTGGCTCTTAAGGGGGTGGATTCCCTTCTCCTTCTCCGGCGACGCTTTTTGGCCCGGTTCTCTTTTTTGAATTTTGGAAGAGAAAGAGGAAGAGATCCTCCAGGCCCCTTTTTAGGAGCCAGCGCTTTCTCCTGCCCGCTGCGCGATCCTTCAGTTTGCGATCCTACCTTGGTTCCTTTCCTTGCATTTCAAATCCCTGCCGAGTCCGGCTTCCATAGCTTGGAATCGGCGGCCACAAACCGGAGCGGAATTCTCTATGAGTGGGAGGGGAAACTGCACCTGTTGTGTTTTTGCCTGTGAGAGTAGTGCCGGTGGCTACCAGGGTTACCAGCTTTTGTCTATTCGGTCAATACAGTCTTAATCCATCACCTCAGACAGAAATGCAGTGGCCTAATCCTTCGCTAACAGTGCCCGGTTACCTTGAGAAAAGATTTTGCTGGTTGAATCCTGCCACTCAAGCAGAGGAAAAAAGTTCTTTGTGGAATGTTCTTAAAACTTGTCCATGAGAGGAGAATTTTTGTGGAAACTCTTTGGTCTGATAGCATCACTTAAGGAGAACACCTTATGTACTTCTTGGTTCAAATACAATACATGTTCACAAAACATGGCTGGCTTGTTTACTGTGTGAGCGAGCTATTGTGGTTAGTATAGTGTGGTTTACAACTTAATGTGTGAATCCAGTCAGTCATGGTCAAGCAATGCATGGTTTAGGTTGTGTGAAGACAGCCTAACTCTTCAACATTGGTTCAGGTTTGGTGGCTGTATTATGGGGCCATTATTGGTGCACACCTCAAGCTATTGTACCCTATTAGCCACAGGTTGGTGTGCTCCAAATTCCTACTAATTATTCAGAAATTTCCTTTATATAAATTGTTCTCCCCAAATCCATCCTGTTGTTCCCTTTCTTTTCTTACAAAGCTTATCTTGACGATTAAAACTTGAATTATTTCAAGTAAATGTTGCTGATTTTATTGCATTTTTATATTAGAAAATAAAGACAGAATGATACATTTTAGGAGGCACTTTGCAAATGCTAAAATCATGTCACAGTTTTTTCAAACAACATGAGAAAAAAGCAGAAATAATTCCTCCATTTAGATACCTCTCTTTTGTATAGAAAAAGGAGAAAAAAGAAGGATGGTACAGTGGTACCTCAGTTCATGAACTTAATTTGTTCCGCGACTCTGGTCGCGACCTGAATTGGTCGCGACCCGAATCAAATTTTCCCATAAGGTTCAATGTAAATAC